TTTAAGAGTAAGTCTTCAAATTTCTTCTTCTGATTTCATTCATTGGATCCTCTCAATATGAAGAAACATTTTTTTAAAATCAGGAAATTTGTGTTGTATTTTAGTTGTAATGAATTAATAACAGAACTCATCAGTCTCTTCACCTTATTTTTCTTTTATATTTTTAAACTCTTCATAATTTTTACTATAAACATTTGGGCATTTCTTTCACTTTGCCTTCAAAATCATTGAAGATTAATTGATAGGTGTGTGTGTTTTAGTCACAAAACTACCAGCATTCAAAATGTAACTGCCTACCACAAGCTATATTGTCTTAGGTAAGTTACTCAAATTCACTCAGCATCAGTTTTCTCATTTATAAACTAGATATGAGAGAAGAATCAAATTTATGGATTTATTGTAAGAATTGGATTAGTTAAGAACAATATCAGGTTTACAGAACAGTTCCTAGCCTATTATAACCATGAAGAAAAATGTTATCTATTTATTTTATCAAGGAGAGGGCTTTTAGCCCTGCTAACACATTATTTGGTTTATTCATTGACTTTTATATTCCAAAAACTGGGTAATTTTACTAGCTCTCTTTGCTGTTTATTTCCGTATAGTGAAGTCTATTTTTCAATGTGTATTTTTGACTACCAAACTTCTCCACAGAATTTCATTAGCATGTGTTATTGGTATTGTTGTTATTTTTAATGTTCTCCTCCTGAATTGTTCAGTATCAATGTGGTCTTTTTTTCATGTCTTTGTTATTCCTCGTAGGTATGGCAATTATAGTTTTTGGTTCATTTTTACATAAAAAGACCACGTGTTTAACTTAAGGAGTTGATATAGACTCTCTTTTCACTTATGTGAGTCTGTTCCACAGGAGGTCTCTTCCTTAGTAAGTAAGGCTATGACAGCACCATTTAAGAGAATGCTTCACTGCAGAATGCCAAAACATAGCAGTTTCCAGAGGAAGGAGGATTTACTCCGACTACAGTCCTTCAGTAAATTTCACTACAAGGTAAAACTAATAGCCTTCCATTTTTGTGAATTTTTCCCTCAGAAACTATGATTTCTTTCTTTTGGGCCTTGACATCCACATTTGCAGCTACCTGTAGCATATCTGTCATGAATTTAAAGAACAGGTCTTAGTTTTAAATCCAGCTGCAACCCTAGTAGGGCAAAGGGATAAAAGGAGGAAAGCTCAGGCTGGCTGAGATGTTTTAATTAAAGTTCTGTAATAAATTACCTAGACAATCTCTTCTTCTCATCTTCTGTTCTTTAGATTTATGAACCCTAACCTTAGAGCTTGTCTGAAGTCACATGGGAAGGAACATGTATCTCTGGTGTTCACAGGCACTGTTGCTTTTCTATTTCATCTTCCTAAGTCCAAACCCAGTTTATTTTTACATATTCAGAAATCTTTCTGAGCAACTTCTACATACTTTTGTTTGCTTGTCTGTCTTTTAGCATGTTAACGGTTACATCTTTCTAGTTTCTTTTAATAAAGGACTTCTCATTATCTAAGATGATCAGTCCCAAGGAGAAACAAAAAGTCACTCACACTAAATCATCTTAAAGCAAAGGCTAACATTTTATATAAAGAGAAGGCACAATAAAGTTTGTGTGGAAAATTAGCTTAAAATAAAAAATTAAATATTTTTAAGATCCTTCATAAGTTTTTTCATCAGTGGTTAGCTGTTTTAATACTGACATATATTATATTAGTTTGGCATAATTTGTGAATTCAGCATTTGGAGTTCTCTAATATCACTTCCATTGCTTTCAAGGAATCCTGCATATATCTTCAGAATTTTAATGTTGATTTTTGTAAATATACATTATATTTATATTAGATTGTGAGTTGATCGTAGTATAGGATTGTGAAGGAGAAAATACTTTACAAAATTGTGATGTGACAGCTAATATTAAATGATATGTATTTTATAAATTCAGTAGAATGAAAAAACTTTTTAAAAATGCATTGCATTTCTTATGTTTTAAATTATTTTGTAAACTTTTTTTTTTGTAAATCACAAACTCCATTTTCTAGACCTCATAAAAATCTATGATCTCAAATAGTTAATAGTTAAATGGCTAATCATGGTTGAATCTTTTGGAATGATTTTTCTTACAATCCTTTTTATAAAGCTGTTTCAAATCAATTCATAGTAAGTTTTCAACATACGAATTTAGAGATGACCTCTTAATGGTTCTTATTTTTAAAGCATTATATTATCATGAAAGTTCATTCTATATAATTTCTGTATATTAATTACATATACATATATTATTTATTGCATACTTAATTTATAAGAATCCCCAACATTTTCTCACCATAGCTCTTTTTAACAGAGAAAGGCTTGAGTGATTGTTGGTTTCTTTGTAAAAGCCTGCTATTCGTGATAAGACTTTCTAATTCCAGCCTATCAACAATAAACAAAAGGCCTGATACTTTACCAGTCTGCTCATTTTTATATGCTGATTTCTTGGACATAATTAGGAGGCCTGGGACATAACTGCACACTATCTCTTTTAGTTTAAAATTATTTTTAGCCCTTTGCCCTTATTGAAGTACAAGTTGTCCTTATCTACAGATATTCTCTACTTATATATTTGCAGGAGTCCAGTAAGGATCTTTGTTAAGTTACTTCACTTTTATGGCCTACATTTTTAAAGATGGAATTGTTCAATATATAATCCAGGTTTTTCATAGTATTAGTTCATAGCCATATGGTGACAAAAATTTTTCTTGCATACTGTGAAACACAGCAAAATTTCTCTCATATACACAATATTTGAGCAAATCAGTAACAACCTCTGTTAGTTTTGAAAGAAACCCTTCAAGTTAATAAAATATATGCAAAGGATTCAAGCTAAATGCTTTGCTCACGTAAGAATTTGAGTGATTATTACCAAAGATACTACTTCTAAGTAATTCTAATCTATGAAAACATATGAATATGGAGCATAAATGTTAACTCACTGTATTATCTAGAAAATTCCAATTTGATTATGTTGAGACTTTCAGAAAAGAGGAAAAAATTGAATAGTAATAGTCTTTACTCATTAGCTAAGTTGAGAGAATGATTGATTGATTGTTTAATAGTTAAACTGTTCTTCCATGTGCATTGAATTAACTCCTCTGTTGATAGGGTAGCTGTCATGCATAATGCTTAGACAGCTTAAATAACGAATTATTTCATTAGAAGAACTGCAGTATCATCATTGTTATTTGTTATTCATACAAATTATGCTAATTATTACCATGTCATATTTTAAGAAGCTTAGATGAAGTCCCTCAATATTAAGAATAATTTTAGGACAATAAAGTAATATACTAAGACATTCCATTTGCAAAATAAGAGTTATATTAGCTATGATTTTAGAAGATGACTTTTAATCTGTGACTCTACCATTTATTTTTCATGTATCCTGGAAATATTTATATTTATTTAATGTCATTCATTTATAATGATTTATAAATAATAAGAATGGAATACTTTTATCTTTTTCAATTTATAGGTTTAAATGTTGTGTATAATTATTAAACATTTTCTCACTAGTCCATTTTGACCCAGCTGTAATAAGTGATACTCATACCTGGCATTTGGACTAATAGAAGTCAGTCAAGAGGCCATAACTACATAGCTCTTCTCTTGTATTTATGGTGTTCTAAGATAATTGGAAGAAAACTATATTTCTGAATTTCAGATGTTCAACTAGTATCCTGACAGAGAGAACAAAATACTGTTAAGGTTACTCACAAAAAAAGGGCAGAACAATTTAATTCAATTTTTGTTAAGAGTGAGCTATTTCTGTTAGATACAATAAGGTACACAGAGTTTTAAAAAATGATCTTTGTTTTCTAGGTCTTTAAAGTGAAGTGATGGAATAAGGTGAAATAATTAAATTAAAATGATAATGAAAAACAAAATAAAATGTGTGCATAAGAAATGATAAATAAATTGTTATGTAATCCAAGAAAGGAGAAATCACATCCAATTATAAGGAATTAGAATAGGACTTTCACTTAGGTGGGACTTAGAGGGATGTTAAGAGATAATTTTAAGAAATTTTAAAATAAAAGGATTAATGCAATTTTCATATGTACAGATGAGGTGCTGAAGACATTCTAATTGGAAAGGAAAATACTTGAAAACATAAGGCATGTTTAAGAAATGTCAGTTAGTTCAGGATCAGAAATGCATGTAACTGCTGTATGTTAATGAATACTGCTTTATTTCACCACCTGACCATTTTTCACTCAGCTCTAGAAAAGCAAAATCCCATTCTCCTGTTACCACAAGAGAAGTAAAAGCTGAGAAAGATGGACCAGGTATATATATATATTTATTTATTTAAAAGAAAAACTTTAGACAAGTTAAATTTAATAGAGTTTATTTTTGCAAAACAACTATTCATGAATCAGGCAGCACTCTGAACCAGGAGAGGTTCAGATAGTTCCATCCAGGAACACAGACAGGCGGCATTTATAGACAAAAAAAGAAACTGACACAAAGAAACAGCTTGATTGGCTATAGCTTAGCATTTGCCTTATATGAATATGATCTGATCAGTTGCCCACCTGTGACTGGCTAAAGCTTGGCCGCTGTGATTGGCTGAGACACAGATGTTTGTTACAAGAATATACTCTGAAGTTATGTTACAGTACCGTTTTTTTTTTTTAACCATATACCAAGTTAGTTTGTAGTTTTCTATGTAGAAATTCAAAATACAGAGGCAGTTTTATGCCAAATGTTATGTAATTTAGCAATTTGTACCTTGGTTTTGTCTCACTAATATGCACTTTGTTTGTTTTCTGGTCTCATTCTGTCACTCAAGTGCAGTGGTGCAGTCTCAACTCACTGCAACCTCCACCTCATGGGCTGAAGCAATTCTTATGCCTCAGCCTCTCAAACAGCTGGGAGCACAGACCTGTGCCACTAAGCCTGGCTAACTTTTATATTTTTAGTAGAGAGAGGATTTGACTATATTGTCCAGGCTGATCTTAAACTCCTGATGTCAAGTGATCCACTGGCTTCCAAAGTGCTGGGATTACAGGTGTGAGCCACCACACCAGGCATAAAATGCACTTTAGAAATTTTCAAGTCATATACCAGAAGGGTCATGGAGTAAAGATTTAAAGGTGATGTTTTTCACCTTATTCCTAAGTGGAAACTTCCTTAGGTTAGAAGAAACTGAAAAAAGTCATGAGGACCAACTCCAGCTACCACAGATCCACATATACCTTTTTTTAGGTAACTATCCTAGGACAACCACCTGCAGTGGTACTTTCCATTAGGTAAGTCAACATATTCTGAGCAATATGTTTCAATGTCTGTCATTGTAAAGGGAGTCAAGAAGTCATTCTTCTTAAATTATAGCTTATTGTGTACCTTTTCAGATAATGTTCAGAACATTATACTTTAATTATTTATGAAAATAGCATGTTTTTAATGTACGGCCTAATCCTGTACCTTCCTGGAGTCAGAAAACAGAAAGAAATCATATTGCTGGATTTCTTGAGTGGTTTTAATAACAGTCAGTTTGGAAGAAACAAAATTGTGACTCAGAGCAAAAGAATAATTTATACAGAACATTTTTGTCCATTAGTATTCCAGTTGTTGATCTTACTATTCTTAGATATCATGACCTTTTTATTTCTTATACACCACATGCATTGTGTTTAATATAATGTATTATAACTTAATTCAAATTCATTAAACTACACAATTAGCTGCATATTTTAATGCTTTTTCTGTGCTTTCCCTCCCCCACTAAAATGATTATCAGAAATTTATACATTAAAAGCCAATGATATGTCCTTGAGAAAAGTTCAGTAACGGGGCTTTAGTAAATATTACAAAAACAATAATTTCTTCATTATTATGAGGAACCAGTTTCAAAAGACCTGAAGAATATGAATTAAATGTTCTCTGGGAGAAATGGAAAAGGTTAAAAATTCATCATTTTAACTGATAGGCTTTATACGGGAAAATAAGTAGTGCAAAGAATACCAAATGCAGTTTTAATATTGTTGTTTTTCCAAATACATTTTCTACGGGGAAAAAATAGTTTCATTATTTCAATTGTAAACATGCTAATGATAATTATTGATTTTATGTTTAATTGTCTTTAATAAGATATATCTCTGAGTTTTAAAACACAGAGTAAAAAAATTATCATCTTTCTTCTTTTAAATGCAGTGCAACCTGTAAATTGTAGATTTAACTATTTCATATTTCATGTGCTTAAATTAGATCTGAGCCTGTCTTTCATAGGTACACGGAAATAGAATTAATTTTGATTGTAAACTTAAAACATCAACGTATTCACAAAACTATGAAATCAGATTTTTTACAAAAACTATTATTTCTGTCTTTTAGCTTTTCTTCATTTCCTGAGGAGCAAAATAAAATAAAGTGCAATGTCATCAGCTCTTCTAGCAAAAAAAGGAAAAATTAGTAATAGTAGAGTTTGACACCAAGACGAATAGTTTTTTCTTAAGTTTAACCTTGTTTTGATTAATGCTATGCCAAAGACTGTTGCTATCAATGAGTGATCTGGAATCAGTTCCTTTACTTACAAGAGAAATGAGAAGGGTTCTCTCCCAAAGACTAGATATTATAGATTGCCTACAGACAACAGGAATCAGAGGATTGGTATATTTCACAGGAATTTTGTTGAGTGTGCTATGTTTGTCTCCTAGTTTCTTAATCTACATGGCAAGAACCCTTGGAAAGAACCACAAACAGTGTTCTTAGCACAGAGGAAGAGCACAAATTCCTGAAAATAGTTATTAAAGGAGGCAAGAAAATGTTACCTTAAGGGATATTAATGAAAAGCTTTGGTTTTGTTTAAACAAAAGGGAATTTGCCATGACTAATTCCAAAAGGAGCTGGTGGGACCTATAGGAGTAGGCTAGACAACAGAATAGAGATGAGAACCCAAAAACAGAATTCCCTTCCCATTAGGGTTTATATTTAACCAAATGGAGTTGTAGAATTCTTTTGTAAAGGGTAAAAGAAGGGCTGAAAGCTTGATTTTTCCTGAGACATTTATGTTTACATAAGTGAGAGAAAGCAAGAAAGATAGACAGTGACAATCATACATCCTTGATACAGGCACCAGACAGAAAGCCAAAGGGGAACCCAGTGGATGAGGCTGTCCAGGAATTACTGAGATGAAGGCTGAACTGGACAGGCTGTGATTAAATACACAGATACTCAGGAAAGTATTCCTGGTCTGTTCTTATAAGACTTCAATGTACAAACACATTTCTAATGTCAGTAGCTCTTTCAACCCTGTATCTCTGATCTTGTAATTTTTTACCCAATTTTCCATATCTCAAAATTTAAGAGGAATGTAATCTACTTATTAAAATACCAAATGGTGCATTTGAAGCTAATCTTTTTTCCAATCTTGTTTTTTAATCTTATAATTGTGTTTCAACTATGACTTTAATTTTAAATTAAGTAGATCATGCTAACTATGTAATCCTGGAAAGTTTTTTAAGCTCTTTAAATTTTTTCATCTGTGAAATGTGGACAATCAGACTTCAAAGTGTTGTTGAGGGGACTAAATGGCATGATATGTGTAAATTGGTAAGTAGTCAGCTACAAGTAGAGAACATTTTTAATGATTTATTATAAATTTTCCTTTAGTCTTTTAATTCTGTACTTTTACATTTCTGTAGCTTGCTAGATATAATGTCTGTTTTCATGATAATTTGGACATATCACAATGGCACAGTCCATTTACCTAGTTATTATCTTGGAAAATTTGGCACGTAGCTTTCCTTTGTTGTGGTTCCAGCTTGTTTAATCCCTGGGCTAGAGATGAGAAGAGTGAGGTCAGTAAAATCTCCTCAACACCCTAGAGCTATTTACCATAATGAGCAATTAATTTCCTCTCTTGGATGTTTTCATATGAAGTTCTATATTGGACATGAAAACAGCATAAAATATAAACTTGGAATATTTGCTAATAAAAGTCTAAATGCACACCCTGTACACCCAGAAGCAAAATAGATTATTCCCTCTTAAAAATTTGTATTTACAGTTTTTATTTTGACAGAGATTGAAGTCTCAGTTGATATCATTTAAATATTTTTCACTGTTGTGAGAGATTTTTTTTTCCTTAGGATAGTTCAGTACAATCATATTGAACACGGTTTAGCTAACTAGCTTTTACACACGGAGTAATAAAGGCAGAAGTAGTCACAACATGTTCCATTCTTGGTGTTGCATATCTTTTGTTCATATAAGCAGGTATTTTTCAAGGTCAGTTTTATTAACACCATGTCTATTTTACTCAGGTGGTTAGTGCATGTTGCTAATGAAGCCAAGGGCATGGGTGACATCAGTTTTCCGGCCAATTAGCTTTACTCTGTCCACAGACCATAACCCTAAACTAAGGTAAATTGTGCTAAAATTGAATGCCCTTTATTACGAGGCAGCCAGAAATGGAATATATGTGATGCTTTTTCCCAACTGGAAATACAACTCAGTGTCCATGACGGTTCAGGTCAAATCACCATACACTTACATAAACACAGCACATTATTATTATTTTTAATTACCTTTATCTCTCTAGGTTCTTGCTTTATTTCTCAGATTACTTTCAGACAAATTATTTCATTAATATTTAAATCACCTATAATTTGAGTCTTTTTAATAAAGATACCCCTGCATATATACTCCAAATCAGAGAGATGAATAGTAGTTTTTACTATGGGTGTTCTATTGTTACCTAGATTTAGAACTCTTGCAAAGAGTTTCAACTTTCTTTTCATTCTCCATGAGCCCACAAATAAAAATATTATTTGAACTTTCAGGTCAGTTTCTGTTTTACCATTCAGTTTGACTGCTGACTTCTATTCACAGCAGTGGTATATGAGTCAGGTTTATGATTCCCATAGGAGTGTTGAGACCTTAGAACCGCACATACACCTCTTACCATTAGTTAGCACCTAAAAGTGTGACTGAAATTTCAAAACAGCTTATGAGTCATTACAATTAACAACTTTCAAACTGTCCATCCAAAGCGACTGGCTTGACATGCCATCTGTTATTTTTCCTTTAAAACCCTCTAGTCTGTTTATTTAAGGCATCCATTTAACATTTAAAATGATGTTTCTTTTTAAGGTGTATGATGGGCTAATGAAGACAAGCTTTTGTTTTAATTATCAACAATTTCTGTGATGCAATATAATTTTTGCAATGCTCAGGGCCCTTTACAAATCAAAAGGAATTCAGCTAAAACAGTAATTAATGTCAAATGACTAGTCACAAAAGGCCCTATTTAATTAAAAATTTCTAATCTTTGATTAAACCTCATCACACATTCTCCTGATTGCAAACTGTTGTCTGAAAAAGGAATGTAATTGGGTACATAGTTTATTGTGTCTCTAAAATGACACCTGCAAATTATATAACGTGACTATAGTCTGCTTAAGTTGAAAATTATTCTTAAGTCATGTTTTTATATGAGTTGTTTTTCTCTTTTCGCAACTATAATTGGAAGCCTTGTTTTTCATTAAATAGTTTACAAACTAAAAAATAGAAAAAAAATTACTTCGGAATTCAAAATCTGTTAATAAGTATATTTTGGACCAACTCTATTTCTTAAAGTTGAAATCCAAGAGTATCTTTATTCTTGTAAAATCAATAGAAATGCTGTGAAAAAAAATTCAAATATTGTTTCTACTCATGATGACATATTTGTGCTTATAATTACAAATTTTTCAAATCCACATTTAAAAAATTTGCATGTTATAATGCATGTTGTTTTTACTGCATAGTGAAATCATTGATGAATAATTCAGTTTTCTTCTATTTGTTGCCTTCCATTTCACTTTTTAATTTTGTTAGATTTATTTATAAGACTCCTGTGTTGGTACATAAATGATATTTTATTATATTTAGGTCATTAAAAATAGATATAATCCTAACTGGACTTAAAACAGAAGTTTGTTTTTTACTGAATGGAAGTATATTACTGAATGGAACTAACTGTCGAGTGTTTTTTTTTCCATTATGATAACAAGGAGCTAAACAATATTCAGTTCAACAATATAATGCCCATTCAAGTTTTAATTGCTCTTTTACACAGTAATGTTATCTTTCAAACCATGTTACCTCTATTTATATCCATATACAATCAACTTTATGCAAATTTTGTGTACTATTCCAACATTATCTATGCCATTTGAACCATTCCTATTGTGTTCAAATAAAATAATAAAAGAAGAATTTAAGACAAGCTAGAGAGAAAAAGATCAAAGGCATCCATTCATACCTACTACTGCCCTACGTGTGGCATTAAATATATACCACTTCATTTACCCTATCAACCATATCATTCATCATCTATGCTTTATAGAAAACTTGGCACATGTATAACATGGAATCTCTATAACAGTATGAGGAAATGTAAATATTATATTCGTTATAGTGATTGAACCACAAAAAGTGTATCTAAAACTTTTTAACAGCACGCACTTTTGCTTATGACAGCTTGGTATCTCATAAATTACTTTTAATTCTAGGATCCAGCTAATGACTAAAGAAATAAAAATGCTTTCTTGAGCCTTCCTTTTAAAATAGAATTAAGTACTTGATTAATTAACATAACACATTTAAAGTGTAGCATCAAGTCATTTGTATGTATGACTTATATGAATAAAGCAGTTTGCTAAAATTTGTGGAACTGCCACTTCAGTAAAAAATGGAATTAACTTCATGAGGATAATTGAAACAATAAAGCAAGTTAAAAGACATGTCATAAAATGATTCAAAAATTAATCCTGTCAAGTATTTAACATATGATGACAAAATGGATAACCATCTACCTAAAATGAAAATACAAATATAAATTCTTATTTAATTTTGATGATTCTCTTCCTTGAAAATTTAAGACTAGTATAATCTTTTTATATGTAATAATGTAATAAATTATCTAATTCTAGAGACAATTTCTGTGATAAGGTGTGGAAGAGAACAATTCTACCAGCAGGAAAATTTTATTGAAGAGTATTGTGATAGGGTAGAGAGATTGAACTCAACTCTCCTAAAACAAAAGGCAGGAAAAGTTTCAATATTGAGATGAGACAGTGTAAAAGTATGTGATATTCACACACTCCTATTTATTTTTGTATCTATGTTGATAACCATGAGTAAATACTAGTACTTCTAATTCCACTGCAAAACTGTGGAGTCAAACTGCTTCCACCCACTTCCACGTTTATACCCTGCTTCCTGGAGTGTGAAATATGCTTGCATCATCTTAATCCTCCTGTATGTAGCCAATCTCCCAATGCTGTGAAGCTACCACACCCTCACACTGGGCCCTACTGACTTGAACATGCCTCATATCCGGCTGTTTACCTCATTTTAGTTTGTCTAATAAATTTTTGACAATGGAGGGAAGTAAAGAAAGAGAGTAGAAGCAACAGAGTGGATATAACACCTGTAAACACTCTACCAAATTTAGCTTTTGTAAATATTTTGTCACATTTGCTTTCTCATTCTCTTTCTCTTCTCTATATGGCATGTATATATAAACATACACATCCATTAATTGTATTTGCATATATATATATATATCATCTGTGTATACACATGCATTACTTTCTGAATCATTTGAAAGTAAGGTTTACAAATCATAGCCATTCACACTCAAATATTTTAATGTGTATTTCCTCAAAAAAAGGATATTGCCTTAAATAACCGCCTTGTAGACTAACTGCCTTCAGAGGATATAGTCATCCCTTGGTACAGGTGGTTTAGAATTTGTTCCAAGAACCTCCAAGAACCTACGCTGATTCCAAATTCAGGGGATGCTCAAGTCCCTTATTTTAAATAACATAAAAAATAAAAATAAATAAATTAGTTGGGCATGGTGGCATGTGTCTGTAGTCCCAACTACTCAGGACACTGAGACAGGAAGAATGCTTAAGTGCAAGCCCCCCAGGAGTTCCAGGCTGCAGTGTGCTATGATCACATCACTGCACTCCAACCTCTGCATCAGAGTGAGACCCTGTCTTCATAAATAAAAGGACATAGTATGGTCCACTGTATTTGCCAATTCTACATTCACATATTCAACAAACCATGGATCAAAACTACAATATTTTCGGCCAGGCACAGTGGCTCATGTCTGTAATCCCAGCACTTTGGGAGGCCGAGGTGGGCGGATCACGAGGTCAGGAGATCGAGACCATCCTGACCAACATCGTGAAAATCTGTCCCTACTTAAATTAGCTGGGCGTGGTGGCGTGTGCCTGTAGTCCCAGCTACTAGGGAGGCTGAGGCAGGAGAACTGCTTGAACCCTGGAGGCAGAGGTTGCAATGTTTATACTACTATAAATATAAAATATAAAAGACATTATGTCAATTTCAACACTAAAAAAAGGACATCAGAATCAGTCTATATACCTATTAAGAAGGAATTGGTTACATATTAATATCTATATGATGAAATTCTACATTTTCAATCAAAAGCATAATGTTCTGCTATGGAAGAGATTCTTGGTATATCATTACTGGAGGAAAAATAAATCATATAAAAATGTGATTATTATGTCTTATTTATGTTTGCTAAGGTATTGCTGCTTTTATAAAAACTACGACAATTACATTTCAAACATTTGTCAACATTATTTTGTATCAAAACATGCTCAAAATATTATTCAAGTTATATTTAAGAATAATCTAAATAGGGCCGGGCGCGGTGGCTCAAGCCTGTAATCCCAGCACTTTGGGAGGCCGAGGCGGGTGGATCAC